GGGTTTAGGGTTTAGGGGCGATGCGGGGATTATAGTTAGTCAAGGGATAAAGCTTAATACACTAGATAAACCAACAGACCAAGTCGAACGCATGTAGGGTTTAGGGATCCTGCACAGTAAGTGAAATAAGCCTACAAACCAATGAACCCAATAAACTCAACAAGAACCATACTCCTAACCTCAATTTTTCTGGGTTGCTGCCATAGGGAACATACAATAAGTTAAAGGACTCTGTATGTATTCATAGAATGTACACTTGGGCAACTTAATTCGAGTCCCTTAGCAGCAGCCATGTCTTAGGAGGACCCCCCACNNCCCCCACGCTGTAATAGTGGTATAACAAGAATATGAGAGGACCCTAATATAATCCCGATTATCCCTAGTAGTCACTATTACTGGGTGGGGGTCCACCTAACCCTAAACCCTAAACCCTAAACCCTATTCTAATTCTACTTTGGGGCAGGCTAGGGGTCCACCTAAGCCATGTCTTTCAATCATTCTCTGGCCTTCTCGTGAGCGGGCACCTGCCGCTTTTGAGTGTCCGCCTGAGTAAAGCTGGAAGACTCTAATGTTCATTCAGGAGTTATATAGGGGTTATATTGGGATAATGGAAAAGAAAATGGAATGTACTATTCAGGGTTTAGGGTTTAGGGTAGACCCCTGATGAATAAAACCCCTCCTTTTAAGGGCCCTAATATTAGGATCCCGATTATAATCCCTATTAAGGGGAGGGGTTTATTAATCAGGGGTCTACATTAGTATGCTTCGTTACTTTGGGGTTTGGAGCTTTGAGCTTGAGTTCAGGATTCAGGGGTCAGCAGCCCTGTTTACTGCTAATCTCAGACAACTGCATGATCTTCGTAGACTGTTATAGAACCATTTCTTTGCAGGAGAGGAGACTAATCGAGTCTGCCCACAGGCTTCCACCATCCCTGCCCCCCGCCTGCCGCTGAGCTTTAAATCGTGTGCAAATTACTTAACGTAGAAGTAGCTGTGAGGCCTAGTGTATATCTAGGGGTAGCTTTGAAACCATGTAGCCTAAACCTAAAACCCGTAAACCCTAAGCCTAAACCCTTTACCTTAAAACCCTCAGCCTAACAGACTAAACCCTAAAACAAGTTGGTCCCTTGCGCTGGTAGCGCAGTGGGTGGGTTTGAATCAACTGAGGGAGAAGGTCATATGTTCATGGGGCCTTCTAAACATTTGGGGCCCATTTCGGGGAGTCTCCATGATAAGGATTCCAGCATGTAGCAAAGAAGCTTCGAACCCTTAAACGCCAAACCCAGGATTGGTTTGGGAGCCAGAGTCCTTGCATGCGGCTTAGGCTTTCGAGTTTAGGGTTTAGGGTCACTGCATAATCATACTTCTATGCGAGCACTCCAGATGCCTGGAATCCGGAAGCCCATATCAGAAGCTCGAGGTTATAGACCCTGCAAAATGCAGCAATTTAAATTTCATAGCCTCAAAAACAGTTTAGGCCCCTGAACCCCAAAGCCGAAACCCTCAACTCTAAACAATGGACGAAAAACCGAAAGAAAAAAAAAAGAGAACGTTCTACCCCAAACCCTAAACCCTGAACCCTACACCCCTATACCCTAAATCCAAAAATTCTCAACACCAGACCAATTCCTGGCCTGGAACTGGCTGTAGAGCTTGTCTCGGAATTCAGAGTTGAAGGGCCCGCAATACACCTTGACTTGCGGCTTCTGCGTCTGGTTTAGGGCTTAGGGTTTAGGGTTTCAGGGTTTAGGGTTTCAACCCTAAACTCTAAGCCCAAAACCCCAGACCCCAAACCCTATATCCTACACCCTAAACCCTAAGACCAAAACCCAAAACCCTGTATAGAGTTAGGAGTTTCGTGGTCTGGAGGTTGGGGGCTTTGCTGCTATCTGAAGGGCTCCTCTAAGCCAGTCACCAGGTCGGTCAAAACTCTGGCTTCGGCCACAGATGTCTAAACCCTCTGAAGCCCCTAGGTAGGTATGCTCCCCAAACTAACATGGAAACCCAAATAGCCCCCTTCAGGAAGGACTATTGTCTTTATTGGGTCCTTTTTGGGTTTCCATGTTAGTTTCCGGGAGTGTACATTACGCAACGCTACTGCTATTTAGAATAGTAGCTATAGGGGGATATAGATTATACAGCCTGGTGATAGGCTATAACTTGGGTGTTCCCTACGTAGCTTAACCCGAAAGCCCGAACTTCTGCACCCTCAACTCTTGAAACTTCTGAACCTTCCACCCCAGACTCGACTTGCAACACTGGCATGCCCACCATATAGCTAAGCTGCCACGAATGCGCACACGCAGCCGACATCTCCAATTAGCCTGCCGGTACAGGTGGGGATGCGTCAACCCTAAACCCTAAATCCTAAACCCTAAAACCTTTTTTGCGGGCAGCTCCACGGATGGAAGGCAGGAGGTGGCTCAAGGTTAGAGCCCGCTGTCAAGCCCAACCATTAACAGCCTACACCTTTAAACAAGTAACTCTAAACAAGGAACCGCAGCTCTGACCAGAGAACGTCTGGCTACTTAATTGAATGCAAGTCCGAGAGTCATTTTTAAGTTCGGTTCCCAAGAGGTTTTGAGGGACTATGAGAAATAACATTGACTATGTTGCGCTCCCTCACATGAAGGTCCCCATACCAAACTCCCGGAAAATATCGACAAGTACTATAGGCCCTCCCCACCCCCCAAAACAGTAGCCTCTGACTTCCTCAACCCTAAGCCAAGCCTGAAGCCAAAACCTTCAACCTTAAACCGCAACCCTGACGGCTACCTCTGCCGAAATTAATGAAACCTCATATGAGCTATAGGCTAAACTTGTGAAAAGGGTTTGTATAAGGGATTACATAAGGGACTAGTCTAGATTCTAGGGCTTATTAAAGGGGATACTAGGAATCTAAACTATAGCTCATATATCCCTATAGCTATGCCCTATAGTCCCCTTTGACGGGACAACCTGAGCTTGCTCTGCTACCCCCTACATACTACCCCGTAATTCGCCTTGTTTCTCCCCAAATAACGCAAATTTGGAACCTCGGGGGGAGTAGAAAGGAGACGTAGGTACCCCTTACCTTCCCCGAAACCACAAACCCGGAAATCTAAACCAAGTCCCCTGAATCCTTATACCCTAGGCATTGGCAGCAATGCCTCTTCCTCCTCAGAGCAAAATTCTTCGAGTCTTCAGTCCTTCATGTTAGGCGTGGGGTTTAAGGTTTAGGGCTTAGAGGCTTTAGGGTGTAGGGTTCAGGGTAACTTACTGGTCGTCAGGAGGGAATGAAATCAAATGGAAAAGAGGATGAAACGTGACTACTGAGGTCCGATAGGAAGATAGAGTATTTAATGTTTAGGGCTTAGGGTCTCTCACTGTTCATTTGTAGGATGGAGGAACAACAAGGAAAATGGAAGCTACCACTCAGGGCTTAGTGCATGCAGTGGAGGAATGGATCCCTATAGTGACACCTATGTACTCGCCAATGGCATGAAGCAGGTTGTGGTTAGGGTTTAGGGTTTTGGGTTTTGGGGTTTAGGGTTTAGGGTTTTGGGGTTAGGGTTTTGGGGTTTAGGGGTTTAGGGTTTTGGGGTTTAGGGTTTTGGGGTTTAGGGTTTAAAGTTTAGGGTATTCTTGGTATTGGAACTAGCCCTCACTTACTTGGACGGTCATGGAGGAGCCCTAACCCTGAGCTCGAAAATGTAAACCCTATGTGTGCTGATATTTTCCAGCCATAGAATAACCACACCTGACCTTCCAGGGAAAAAAAAAACCCTAAGCCCTAAACTCCCCTGACCCTAAACCCTAAACCCCCTAGAGCCATTGAACCACCTAAACCCTAACCCCTAACCCCCCTAAACCCCCTGGAGTTTAATCCGGTGGGGGGTTCGTAAATGAGGGGTCCACTTGGGAGGTTGCTGAGAAGAGGACTAGACCTAACAAATCCTGCATATCCTGCATCTCACAGATGGGTACCCAACCCTGAACCCTAAAACCTAAACCCTAAACCTTTAACCCAATTGGAAGTAGTTGTTGTTAGGAGATAGGCTGGGCTATTCTCGTGGGGAACGGGATCCCCTGACCTTGGTTAGAACCCCACACTGCTTGGCATTCCCCCCTCATGGGTTCCCCTACCCCCCCCCCGTACCGCCACTCCTAGGTTTTCGCGTAATTTGATTTAACTGGAGAATCTGAAAAGGGTAGCGTAAGGGTCGGGACAGGAAACCTTCAACGTTAAATCCTAAAGCCTAAACCCTACATTCCCTCATCCTAAACCATAAACCCAAAACCTTGAGCCCTAAACCACCCTAAAACCCTAAACAATAAATCCTAAACCCCAAGCCCTGAACCACAAACCCTAAAGCCCAAATCTTAAACCTTAAACGCCCTCATCTCTGGATCCCTATGTCGGTCCATCGCGCATTCTCACCGGACAGGCCCGAGAGCAGCTTGTTCCTCAGAGAGGTGCGCAATTTGGGGTTTAGGGTTTGGGGTACGGGGTTCCTGGGTTTAGGCTTTACAATAGATATAAGAAGTTTTAGGGTATTTACGCTTTAGGGTTTAAAGCTCGGTATTTCTCGGTTACCCATACACCCCCCCTCTATACTGCCAGCAACGTCCCCCTTCCGTAGGCTTTTCAAAAGGGTAACTCAGGCTAACTACAGAGAAAATTGGCGGCGCGCATTAGAAAGCGGTAGGAGAATCCAGAATACGCCTCTGGTCTATGGTACTTGAAGGTTCATGGGCACTCGGAGGGTCAGGAGGACTTAGTAAGTAGGTTAATAACTCCTATGACCCATATAGTCACCCTAGTTATCCGTATTATTAACCTAATTACTACGTCCCAATGGCCCTCCAAGCACCCTCCCGTAAACTGATATGCCATGCAAACCCCTTTTGACGGAACAGTGGATTTTCAAGGGTCCATGTTAAGGTTCCATATTAGTTTGGGGGAGGGTAGTAGTAGTGGCGGCGTTGCTTGTCATCGCTGAGCATTGAGCTTAGGTCTCGAGCTAAAAGCAGCAAAACGTGGAGTGCGCAGACCTCAGGCGTACAATTGGGGGGTCAGGTTGAATCTGAGTTTAGTCCACAGCTACCTGCACCTCAGGAAACGGAGAACAGCCCTGAGCCCTAAACCCGAGCATTTTCTTGGGGGTGCTAGAACAGTAGTTCAATGCTCCCATGAACGACCATGGAACACTAAAAGAGGCTTTGAAAAAACTAAACCGACAGCGACCCATTACTAACACGAGCGATATGGGCAGTATCCTCCTGGAACACGTTACTGATAGTAGCTCAAAGGCAGGTTTTCAACACAGTCAACCCCCGTTCAGGTGGTTTCTCTTATAGAAAGGATTGTAGCATATTCTGCAAGTATTAAAGGGGACCCATTTTGTGAAAGCGTCGCAAGGATTGTCATAGATTTTGGGCATTTACCAGGGCAGGCCTTTCCCCGAAAACCATCATATGATGAAGCCGGGGTTCGCAGCATCCATTTGTCGCTGCATTGCCGCTGCACTCTCCTCTCAACTTTGGGATGTCCCAGCTTCAGATT